ACCCTGGTCTCAGAGCAACATTAGGAGTAAGTACGGTTCCTACACCCATTTTACAGATGGGGGAATTGAGGCTCAGAGAGGTCAAGTCACTCACACAGGGTCACACAGCAAGAGTGGTGGAATCTAGGGCTGTGGTTAGCTCAGTTGGTTCGAGCTGGTGCTGTTTACACCACGGTCCAGGGTTCGATCTCTGTTAAAAAAAAAAAAAAGTTCTGAAATCTAAACCGAGGCAGGCAGACTCGGAAGCCCACATACTTCCCACAATCCTATACCATCTTCCCCACGCTTCATGCAGCTGAGCCCTAGTTCCCCTATTTGCCAGGTGGAACTAAAGAGAAAACAGGGCGAAGTCCCTGGTGTGCATTCAATGAGCTAAAATGTGAGTGTGGCGTAGTGCCCAGGACATCCTTTACATTCAATCAGTGGCTGTGATCATTATTGTGACCAGGACCCCTAGACACGGCAGAGCGCCATGGAGAGGGGTCAGCAGTCCCCCCTCAACATTCTGCACCCTGGCCCTGCCCAGGCCCCGGAGCTCGGGCTCAGCCAAGGCAGGAGACAGGCTCCGTCTCCATGGAGACTCGAGCAGGAGGCTCATAGTGCCGTGGGCCTCGGGTGTGTGGGGTGAGTCGGTGACAGAATCAAAAGGAAAACCCACCTACTCTCCCAGGAGCCAAAGAGGCACTTTTCCCAGCTGCTTCCTCCTCTTTCTTCGCTCAAAACAAGTGACGGGGAAGGGACAGGAAGGAACCACGGGATCTGGGATCTGACCTCCGGGAGCTTAAATCCAGCATTCACCTCCCGAATGACACTTGTCCCTGGAATCTATTCCGTGACACGCTGGCATACCTCAGCCACATCAGGGGATGGGTCGGGGCACAGAAACATGAAGCCGTGCACCTGGAAGCCTTTGGAGCCTGCTAAGCCGAGTCTCTGATTGATTATCAGCTGGAGGAAGTCGGGTCACAACTGGCATACCTGCAGGAGCCCCAGGACAGGGGCTGTTCATGAAGAAGTGAACAGGGTGGGAGCAGGACCCATGGGGGGTGTCAAGGGCTGGAGGCTTCCAGCAAGTTGCTGGCTGTCTGGCTTCTGTGTCTTCAGAAACTTGCCCCAGGGCCTTTGCACTGGCTGGGTCTGCATCTCCTGGGTTTTTCATGAGAATGGATGGATCTGGACCACAGTTTCTCAGCCTCAGCACTGTGGGCACTTGGGGCTGTGTCACTGTCTGTGGTGGGGGGTCATGGGCACTTCAGGTGCTGAGCAGTGTCCCTCGCCCCAGCCTACTCCATGCCAGGAGCACCCACCAGTCGTGACAATCACAAATGTCCACAGACATCACCAAATGATGCCGGGGGAGCAAATCACCCCTGGTTGAGACTCACTGTCCTTCAATGCCCTTCCCCAGATATCCACGCCCTCCATGCTTGCCCATCTCAAGGATACTTGTCCCCCTGCTGGTCACCTCTACCTGGTTATCCTGCCATTTTTCTTTACACTTCCAGCTTCACCTGAGGCATCGCCTCCTCCAGGAAGTCCTCTTTGATGTTCCAGCCCAGGCCAGGTGACTCCTTGGGGCTCCTATAGTGCCTGTGTGCCTACGCACCACGACCTCCATGGTCTGTAGACTTGGCTTTGCCCAGGAGAGCAGCCAGGACAGGGGCCGGCACCGGCTCACTCCCCACAGTGTCTGCCTGCCCAGCCCAGGGACAGCACCCAGCATCTGCTCAACAAATACCTGTGGACAGCACATGAGCGTCAGCAGTTAAACGTGACTGGCAAGCCTTTGTGTTTTTCCTTCCCTTTAAATTTTTCTTTCTTTGGATTTTTCTCCTCTTCCCACAATGATTGTGAATCACTTTGGAATCAAGGGAGTCTAAAACTTAAAAACAGGAAAGGAAACAGGACCGATTTAGCGGTCACGACCATCAGATGGAGGATTCGCACGTCGAAGCCAACTCGGCCTGGGTTTATTCTTTTCAATTCTGTGCCCAAGAGAACGAAGATCTTCTGAAAGCAGCTAGGCTCCCTGGCTGCCAGGCCTCAAACACATGACAGCAGGTGCCACGCTGGCCCCTGTGCTGGCTGGGTAAATGGTGGCAATGAGAGACCATTTGCCACTTGCCGGGTGCTGTCGGGCATACACGGCGCGGACTGCTGTTATTCCCATTTCTCAGAGGGGCACATCGAGACACCCAGAAGGTCCGAGGATAAGGTGCCACGCTGGCCCCTGTGCTGGCTGGGTAAATGGTGGCAATGAGAGACCATTTGCCACTTGCCGGGTGCTGTCGGGCATACACGGCACGGACTGCTGTTATTCCCATTTCTCAGAGGGGCACATCGAGACACCCAGAAGGTCCGAGGATGAAGCTTATGTTTTTCCTTTTCGGAGCTCAGGATCTTTTCGCGAGCTCGAGTGTTTGTCGTCCCCGTTGTCTCACTGGCTGCCATGTGAATCCCTCCCCAGACAGTTAACAACTGGGCTGTTTCCTTCCTCCAGGACAGCGGGAGATTTTCTTGCACTAGTGGGCTAGGACGGAGTCTTATTATATAATGTAGCCTAGTCACAGGACCGACATCTATCACTTTTGCCAATTTTTCAATTTAAGTATTTATTTAAGTTTTTAAAAAATGCATGGATCTTCCCCGCCCCCACCATATCCTGCTGGCTGGAAGCAAATCCTAGCTTCTGCTGAAGTTAAAGTGAAGAGTGCCCGTGGCGGGGGGTGATTCATTGCGATCACTTAAGGGTATGTCTGCCACCAGCACTTGCTATGTGCCAGGCATTTTATAGGAATAAACCCACTTAATCCTCCCAGTAATCCTAGGAGATAGGCACTCCTCATAGCCCATTTTACGGATGAGGAAACTGAGGACCAGAGAAGTGGTGGAGCTGGGACTTGAACACAAATTCCACATCATCCCCCTACTCGCTGCCCCTACAGTCAGTCATAGGTCCACAGACGCATATCACGGGGTGAACGCTCTGGCACGCATTGTCACAAAATGGTAAAATTCTGTGGTCCCACTACAGCCCTGAGCAAAACGCAGAGCCCCCCACCGTCTTCAAAGCACCCAATGACAACAGACAGCCTTGAGTCCCTCCCCGGGCTGGATGGCTTTCAAGCACTGGCCGAGGACCTTGAAGGCTCAAACATGGGCTGTAACTGGCACACTGGGAAGTGTTCTCAGGAGCGAACGTCCTGCGGAGTGCACGGGTCTCACGTCATCGCATCTCCATGGTAACCAAGCCGGGGTTGTTCTTATCCCCATTTTACAGGCAAGGAAACTGAGCTCAGTGAGGAGAAGCGACTCGTCCGCCGTTGCCAGCTTGGGACTCAAGAAGGAGGGCCGGGCTTCTACTGTGTCCAGCTGGCTCCTCCGCTGACCTCTCTCCAGTCCAGAAGGCAGGATGGCTCAGTGATTACATGCTCCGACAACCTGCTTTGTGACCTTGGGCAAGTCTCTTCCTCTCTGGGCCCTGATTTCCCCAGTGGCCCAAAGCTAGGCTCCTTTCACCCCACTTAGCATGTGACTAACGGCATAGCCCGTGGTTCATCAGACTCATTTGAATCCTTGTGCCAAGCCTCTGCTTTCTCATCTGTGAAGTGGGCACCGTAAGAGCACCTACCCAAGGTGGGCACAACACCACTTCCTTCACTTGCCCCTTTTGGACAATCAGCTTCCCCACAATGTCCCTCCCCTCCTGCTCCCTGTTTGTCCCCAAATCATCCAGCTCCACTGGCCTAGACCAGTGCCAAAGGGGAAAATATTGACTGTCACTGTCCAATGGACAACAGGTACCTAAAGATGTGAACCTAGATGTCAAACGCTGAGTTCATTTGCTCAGCAAACTCTGCCTGCATTTTTCTTCCTTTCCCTCCCCCAAAGCCAGGCCCCCTGAGGGGTGGGGAGCCTGAGCACATGTTCAGGGGACAGACTGTATGCAGGGGGCTGGAAGGCTGTTGCAGGGAGTGTGCATCCACTGGAGGTTAATCAGGAGCCATCTTGGGTTCTCTATAGGAGGAATTCAAAGTAGGGGCTTGGTTACCTGGGTATCCCAGGAGCCGCATGGTGTTAGCATCAGCAGGAAGTCACCACTACCACCCCTAGGCTGGAGTTTCAGGGTTGAGGGATTTGGCCAGCCTGGGTATTCACGTCCTGGCTCCACCACCTCTCGGGGCATCAGTTTCCATTGGTAACTCTCAAAATTAGGTTGAAATGTCAAAAGAAGCTAAGATTGTATGTCCACTGCAATATGACCACAGATCCATTTAGTTCTCTAGTAGTGGCCAAAGTTTTTCCACTGTGAAAGAGGAAAAAAAAAAGAGAGTAGATTGAGGATAGCAAACATTTTCTGCAAAGATTCAGATGGCGAATACTTTAGGTTTTGCAGCCACCTGGGCTTGGTTACAACTGCTCAGCTCTGCCAGTGTACTGGGAGAGCCCTCGTGGATGTTACATAAATGAATGGGCATAGCCATGTGTCAATAAAACTTTATTTACAAAAACAGGCAGGGGGCTGGACTCAACCTGGGGGCCAGAGTTTGCTAACCCCTGGTTGAACACACTTCCCTCTGATGCTCCTATGGTTTGGGACAGTGGAAGGCTGGTAACAAGCTGTGTGTCCCTCAGCAGGGGACTGAGTGAGTAACTCCTGGTACGCCCTGAGGATAGAGTATCATACAGCTGTGAAAAGGGGTGTGTGGCCTTGTAGATCCCCAGACTTGAGGCTAAGTTAAAAAAAAAACAGTGTAGATGTAAGATAGGGTGCTATTTATATGAAATGTTTAAGGTAAGCACACAATACTGAAGAGTGTATGCAAAAACAAATTTTTAACAAGTGAGGACACATACCAATGGACAATGCCTCTGGGGAGAAACTGTAATGGCTTCAAGGGACATTTGCTTATGTTTTATCAATTAAGAAACAAAAAAGTCCCCAGGAAGAGACCAAAGCCACTGAATCCAACCTCTCTCGGGTCCTGGGAGAGTGTGAGATGTCGTTGCCAGAAGACGTCTTTGTATCAATTAAGAAACAAAAAAGTCCCCAGGAAGAGACCAAAGCCACCGAATCCAACCTCTCTCGGGTCCTGGGAGAGTGTGAGATGTCGTTGCCAGAAGACGTCTTTGTCCACATCACCTGCTGCCATCCAGGGTTGACAGAGACCCAAGGTGATGCCTGAGGGACCCAAGGGAGCTATGGCATGAGTACTCAGGTGTCCCTAGCACGGGCTGCATGATCTCATTTCATCTTTATAACTGTCCTCTGGCAGCCGGCGACATTTCTGGATTCGATGAAGTTCAGACCACATCCCTCCTCTCTTTACCCCCTCTCCCCCTGTGTCCCTTTCACATTGAGAATGAAATGCAAACACTTCAGCAAAGCCCAAGAGGCCCCCTCCTTCTGCCCCTCACTCGCTCTGCTCTGGCCACACGGCTGCTCCTCCCACACAACAGGCATGGTCCTACCTCGGGGCCTTTGCACAGGTGATTCTCGCTGCCTGAATCACTCTCCCCTGATTTCCACATGACTTAATCCCTGTCACTCCAATTTCATTCACTCTCCTCAGGGAGACTTCACTGTCTACCCTAAGCTCTTCCTCCACCTACCCTGTAAAATACCATCCCTGGCGTTGGTCACAATCTGAAAATGGTCCTCTCCGTCTGATGACTTAGTACCTGTCTTCCCCAGTGGACCGCATGCCCCACGGTGGCCGAGATGTCTCTCATACACGCTGTATCCCGAGCCTAGCACAGAACCTGGCACACGGCAGATGTTCAAATATGGGTTGAAATCATAGTTGAATAAAACTAATCGATAGTGACAGAATCGGTAGTGGCCTAGGGGCCAGGCAGGGCTTGAGGAACCCTTCAAGGGTATGTATTCACCCTTGACTGTGGTGATGGTTTCATGGGTGTGTACCGGTGCAGACATCAAACTCGTCACTCAGAGACACTGTACACTTTAAACATGTGCAATTTACTATCGCGTGACAGTAATTCCTAGAGAGTGCTGTTCATAAAGAAAAATTCTTCAAATTTTTTTATTGTTAGTTGAATGAAATCTACCAGCCTATTTTCAAAATTAGATGGCTTGGACACACGCACATAACACACATACCTCGGGAAAATAAAGAGGATGAAGAACAGCGGCATGTGTATGGTGGCCATCTTTGTCAGCTGGGCTCAGTGGTGGTTTTCATTTTATTATGATCAATGGAACGGTTTGTGTGAAAAGGATGAAGTGTCTGTGTATGTTAATATAAGATGACAGGCTGGCTTTGCCTCTGTATTAGTCCGTTTTGTGTTACTGTAGCAGAAATACCTGAGACTGGGTAATTTATAAGGAAAAGAGGTTTATTTGGCTTATGATTAGGGGACAGCTGCATCTGGCACGGGCCTCAGGCTGCTTCTACTCATGGTGGAAAGTGGCAGGCAGCCGGCGGGTACAAGTGGATCACATGGTGAGAGGAAGCGAGAGAGAGAGAGAGAGAGAGAGAGGAGGTGCCAGGGTCTATTAAGCAACCAGCTCTCTTGGGAACTAATTGGATCACATGGTGAGAGGAAGCGAGAGAGAGAGAGAGAGGAGGTGCCAGGGTCTATTAAGCAACCAGCTCTCTTGGGAACTAATAGAGTGAGATCTCGCTCAGGCCTCCCTCCCCCAGGGAGAGCATGAGCCCATTCATGAAGGATCCGCCCCCATGACTCAATCAGTTTCCAACACTGCCAAACTGGGGATCAAATTTCCACATGAGAAGCCATGGCATCTGCATCAACACCCAGCGCAGCTACAAATGCCAGTGACTGCCTGGTTTTAAGCTCAAACCAGAGAACTGAAGCTGTGCTCAGGTAGAGGCCCCAGGAAGACGCCGTGAGGCTGGACTGGAGCTGGGGATGGAACCGAGGCGGGTCCTACAGCCTGAGGAGGAGGGAGAAGATCACAGGTTCCCACAAGGCCAAAGGTCTACTGAGACCTGTCTAAGGACTCACCTTCTAGGAAGGTCTTGCCACAGAGCAGGGAGGTGGCAGGGCGTCCTGGGCCTGGGATGCCCTTGTGGAGCCCCCAAACCTCGCCCCTTCCTCATCTTTCATATGTGAGTAGAAGAAAGTGTCATTTCCAGCTTTGAGAAGGGGAACCTCAGCCATGGCCAGGCAGAGAGCAGATGAGAGTCCTTGGTCAGGAAGTCCAGCCCCCTGACTCATCTCCCTCCTGATTTCACCTCCTAAAAATGGGACCATCATCCCTGCTGTGCTCATCTTGCAGGGAGGCCTCCACAAGGTTCTTTGAAGTTGAAGTTGAATTTGAAGGTCACCAGGTGGCAGCACAGGCAATAGTTGGGGACAGAGAAGATTTGGAAGTGTGTGGGGTTTGTGGAGGGGGCTGAGCCAGCAAGAGGTAGGGTTTGACCCTCTATTTGTCTCCAATGTGACTGAATGCACCTTGGGACAAAACCCGTGCCACAGCTCTGCCCACTGCCTCAACAACAGAGGCTGGAGGCCGATTCCCAGGTCCCCCAGTGGCCCAAACAACACCATCTGCGAAGGTCCAGAGCTCAAACCTCACATCCCTTGGGACCCACAGTCCAACATCTGATCACATATTCAATGGCACCCACACAAAAAAGCAGAATGAATGCTGGAGGTTCCCTGCTATGCCAAGCGTTAACTCTTCTGAGGCTGGATGTGAAAAAATCTGGGGGTCCTGGGGAAGGAGTGGGGAAACCCAGTGTGAGCCTCAGGGGGGCCCCAGGCAGCAACTGATTACTAACTGGGAGGAAGGTATTTCAGTATTTTCATAACCTGTATATCTGTATGGGGCCCACCTGCTGCCTTGGGTCTTTCCACACTTCTCTTAACGCAGAACCCACTCTTCAAGGATGTGCAGTCACTAGACAGTATCACCTCCAGCTAAGGAGTGTACTAATACTAGTCAGAAAGTTTTGGGGGCACAGAGAGGAGAGAGTAACTTCATCAGGTTGGGATGGGGCCTGATCCCCTTCTCTGGTCCCAGATGTGGATGAGTGCAGCTCTGGACAGCACCAGTGACACAGCTCCACCTTCTGTGTCAGCACTCAGGGATTCTACAAGTGCCACTGCCACTGAGGCTGGAAGTCAAAACATGGGAGCCTGAATAACCAAATGACCACTGTCTGTGAAGGCACCTGGCCTGACATGATTCTAGAACCTCCCTCTCCCCCAACACACACACAGACACTGTCAGCCTAATGAATCATGTCCTCTCCCCTGCAGGGATCCCCTTCCCCACCTGCACTCTGCCACCTGGAATCAACAGCTGGGTGAGTGGCCCCAGTGGGCACCAGGAGGCAGGAAATCCCTCCATGCAGTGCCATGTCTGCCCTGTGCCCTGAGCTCCTCATCCACCTGAGAGGCTGTCTGACCCCCTCATCTCCCCTTTCTGCAGAGTCTCTCCCGCTACTTTGACAAAGTCCAGCATCTGGGCAGAGACATCAAGTCAGCCTCAGTGCAGGACACCATCCAGGTAAGGAAAGGACCTGGGGAAGAAAAGGCAGAGGCATCTCATAGAGCCTGGGGAAGCTTTGTTCTGGGAGCAGGCAGGCCCCCATGTGGTGGGTGCTGGTCTGACTCCCTGTGTCTCCCAGGGCTGGTGGAAGAGTGGACACTGCAGTAGTCCTGCACCCTATCAGATACCTGTGTCCTTACTAACCCACTTTCCTCTTGCTGTGCCTGGACATTGAGTTTTTGTCATCTTTGGTATTTCTGAGGGCAGTTGACTACTAAGTGTGGAGCACACCAACATTTATAAAGCAAATGTATTTCACAGGGCCTATTCTCCAAAGCCCTGTAGTCTTAGGTTTAGCCTAAACTTTTGGAATTACACATAGAAACGTTAACCTTGCAAAAGACAGGAAACTCTCCTCAGGCTAAAGTCTTGGTAACACAACATGATCCTATATATAGAAAAACCTAAAGACTCTACCAAAAGACTCTTAGAGCTGATAAACAATTTCAGTAATGTTGCAGGATACAAAATGAACATACAAAAATCAGTAGCATTTTTACACTACAACAACAAAGTAGCAGAAAAAGAAATTCAGAAAGTTAGCCCATTTATAATAATCAGCCCCAAAATAAAATATGTAGGAAACAATTTAACCTAGGAGGTGAAAGATCTCTACAATGAGAACTACAAAACACTACTGAAAGAAATTAAAGAGGACACAAAAATGAGAAAAGACATTCCATGCTCTTGGATTGGAAGAGTTAACATTGTGAAAATGTCCTCTCTAACCAAAGTTATCTACAGCTTCAATGCAATCCCCATCAAAATACCAATGACATTCTTCACAGAAATAAAAAAAAAATCCTAACATTCATGTGGAACAAAAAAAGACCCCGAATAGCCAAAGCAATCCTGAGCAAAAAAAAAATTATCTGACTTTGGATTATACTAGAAAGCTATAGTAACCAAAGCAGCATGATTCATATGAGAACAGACACTCTGACCAATGGAACAGAATAGAGAACCTGTAAATAAACCCACAAACCTACAGCAAACTGATCTTTGGCAAAGGCAAGAAGAATGTACATTGGGGAAAAGGCTGCCTCTTCAATAAATGGTGCTGGGAAAGCTGGACATGCACATGCAGAGGATGAAAATGGACATGTCCCTCTCTCCATATGCCAGAATCAACTCAAAATGGATTACAGAGTTAAGTATAAGATCTGAAACCATAAAACTACTAAACGAAAACACAGGGGAAATACTCCAGGAAGTAGGAATGGGCAAAGACTTTATTAATAAGACCCCAAAAGCATAACCAACAACAAAAACATAAACAAATGGGCAAATGGGACTATATCAAACTAAAAACTTCTCCACAGCAAAGGAAACAATCAACAGAGCAGAAAGACAACCTACAGAGTGGTAGAAAATATTTGTAAACTATACATCTGACAAGGGATTAATATCTAGAATATACGAGGGACTCAAACAATGTCACAGTAAAAAAAAATCTAATGTTAAAATGGGCAAAGGAGCTGAATAGACATTTTTCAAGGGAAGACATACAAATATCCAACAGGAATATGAAAAAAATGCTCAACATCACTAAACATTCGGGAAACAAATTAAAACCATATCAAGGTATCATCTCACCCCAGTTAGATTGGCCATTATTAAAAAGACTGAGAATAACAAATGCTGGCGAGGATGTGGAGAAAAGGGAACACTCCTACACTGTTGGTGCGACGGTAAATTGTTGCACCTGTATGGAAAACAGTATGGAGGCTCCTCAAACAACTACAGATAGATCTACAATATGGTCCAGGAATCTCAGTTCTGGGTATATTCTCAATATACACAAAGGAATGGAAAACAGGATACCTGCACTCCCGTGTTCATTGCAGCAGCTCTATTTACAATAGCCAAGATATGGAATCAACCTAAATGTCTTTCAGTGGATGGCTGGATAAGGAACATGTGGTATATAAACACAGGAGAATACTACGCAGCCATAA